TAACAGGACACCAAGTTCTTATTATTTTAAAGACCTCTTACAAATAAACAGGAGAGGACGTATCAGTAGGAAAATGAGCAAAAGGTATAAACAACTAATTAACTGGAGTTGAAATACAAATGCCAATAATCATATGAAAAAACAATGGGCATCATAGGTAATCAAGAAAATGCAATATGAGACTCCCATCTCCTGCATGACCTCTGTCAAGAGGGAAATGGAAGATAGTATCTAGTGTTGGGAAGGGTGCGAAGAACCATTTGTCTCCCCCTAAGGGGAGTATAAGTTGTTAAAAATGTCCTGGAATGCAGCTTGACATTCTGAGAAGTCTTAGAAATAAATATTCCTTTGTCACGCCAATTTTGTACCCAAGAAAACCATCACAGATGTACATGAACAAATATCTATGTAGAAGGATATTCAGTTCTGCATTATCTATAAAACTGAGACATTGGGAAGCTATCACAGCGTCCAGTGAGAAGAGAGTGGCTGAAGAAAAGGGATCAGTGGAAAACTTCAGCCATTGAAGGTTACCTGGCGGTGGGCACCAGAATACTTTCCTGAGTTAGGGAAATGTTAATGGTAGCACCATTTTATTCCCTCTTGGGGACAGAGTGAGAATACAGAATAAAGAAAAGACAAAGGTTATCCTTCAAAGTACTAATAGTGATTATCTATGTGAAATGGGCTTACAGCTGACTTAGGTTTTATCTTTCTTTGTGCTTTGCAGCTGTCTCAAGTTTTCTACCGTGAACACACGTGGCTTTGTCAATTTCAAAAGTACTAAAACAAGGAGGGGAAAGGAGCTGCAATAAGAATCCAGGTGTGAAGGGCACCTGGGTGGCTCAGTCAGAAGCATCTGCCTTTGGCTCAGGTCATGATCCCAGGGTCCTGGGATTGAGCCCCACATCGGGCAACTTGCTTCTCCCTCTCCCACTCCCCCTGCTTGTGTTCCCTCTCTCACTGTGTCTCTCTCTGTCAAATAAATAAAATCTTAAAAAAAAAAAAAAAAAGGATCCAGGTGGGATATACAGATGTTTTTGAGAGACCACTGAGGTGCTTGTGATTGGGGTCTGATACGGGAAGAATGCACCCTAGAGGGAGGTACCCAAACAAAGATCAAAGGAGGTGACATATCTTGCCCTTGTTCCCTGGGTCCTTTTCATAAGGATTGGTGTGGAGTAGATGTGTATGTTCATTGTTTTACCATCTAGGTCTACAGAGGGCATTTTTGCTATGTTGTCTGGAGGCAAAATATAGACTTTGCTCATTTTGATGAAATATCTCACAGGTTGGGCACATGCAGAAAAGATCCACTTCAGTGGGCAGTAGAAAGCAATGGCCTACTGACTTGGCAGGCTAGGAAAAATATATTCAGGACGCATGAATTAAGAGACTTGCTCTGTGAGCTTCTGCCTTTCAAATACCATCACCTCAAGACGTGGGAGAGTCGAAGATCCAAAGAGTCCTCAATTCCACGAGGAGACAATATGGTTGGGAATTGTGATTTCCTATTAAAGGGTGTGGTGTTGGCCCTGATGCACCTAATTAGCAGGTATCTGGTTTTTCTTGACCATCTGACACATGATGTGGAAAGGCCAACACAGCCACCAAAGTGGTCCTGCTGCTGATATAAACATTGTATAGAACTATGACCATGGCCTATAAAGGTTCCATGAGGAGATGGACTATAGCACGTAAAGACAGGGAAAAAATACATGTTTGGCCAAAGAACCACCCCACCTGATCTGTATGTCCCTAAACAGAAAAATCGGAGGAGAGAGAAAGACCCAAAACTGTAAAACCAGATGCTATGGGGGGGGGGGGTAGCTGGTGTAGTTTGAAAATTAAGTCATACTCAGCCCTTTGAATTGATTGTCAATTTTCAGACACAATATGGAATCTACTTTTAAATTTCACAAGACATTAAAGGGGCTCATGAAGTTATGTTTATCAGCTTTGGGAGACCCTGAGTTAAAAAAGAACAGTAGTGATGTAGAACACAGCATTACCATAAACAGTACTTAAGATTTCTGGAAACTGTAGACTTCAAGCTCACTTTGGAGGCAGCTGGTAGATTAAACTTGAAATTTTAATCCCCCTATGTCTTGTGGGCTTGTTGGGGAAATGTTTTTTGAAAATGAAAATCAGGGGCGCCTGGGTGGCTCAGTGGGTTAAGCCTCTGCCTTCGGCTCAGGTCATGATCTCAGGGTCCTGGGATCGAGCCCCACATTGGGCTCTCTGCCCGGCAGGGAGCCTGCTTCCTCCTCTGTGTCTCTGCCTGCCCCTCTGCCTACTTGTGGTCTCTGTCAGTCAAATAAATAAATAAATAAATAAAATCTTAAAAAAAAAAAAAAATGAAAATCAGTGGATGACTCCAGTGAGTTGAGGAGGTGATTCCACAATCCTGTGGGTCAGAGACTTGGTGGAAAAGGAACAGTGGAATCAATCATTTGGAAGACTGTGCCTGGTTCTGGAGCATACCAACTGGCGTTCTTCGGTTGCTGCAATCAGGTCTAACTTGAATAAAAACAACCTTGTTGGAAGGCTGTTGGAAACCCACAAAAATCAGAAAAAAGCTGGAGAATCATAATTAGAAATGCACAAAACCAAGGTGGCTCCAGAGGGCCAGGAACTGGGAACTATAGAACCTGTCTCCAAACAAAGGTGGGGCTCAGCACACCACAGCTACATGCATGAACTCCACTTGCGTTAATCTCTTTGTCTCCTCAAGATTCAAATGCTAGAGAGAGACCACATAAGGGAGGGTAGGTCATCCGATTGCAGCCTTAAACCTGTATATAAGCCATGATGGAAGAGATAATTCCCCCAAAGAAAATCTGTGCCATTAGGAAATAGGAAAATATTTGTCAGGCAGCCCCAAACTGTTGGGCACACACTCAACAGAGACATGTATGTTTGAGTCAAGATTAATCCGTCAAGATTAAAAGGAGGGAAATCAAAAGTAGTATCATCATGTATCAATTCTGTGGATGATTTATCCAAGTAATTAATACTGGCTGGATGCTGATTCCAAAATAGTCATAAGGAGAGAATGTGGTTTGACAACAAACTGCAGATTGGTACATTTTCTGGAAATTTCAGTGTGCCACAAATCGAACACCTGAAAAATTCTTTACATGCCTGTTGGTTGTGGTGTTACTCGAAATACAGAGAAGACAATAGGGACACCTGCTTCTTTGAATTTGAATGCATCTTGGCCAGAAAGGATAGCAGGTTGATGTCCATGTCCTGTTAAAGTTTGTAACCACGAAAGAAGGAAACCCTGGGCATAGTTCAACTTCAGGATAGCAGAGTCTACAAAACTTCAGAAAAAAGCCAGATGCAACCCCATGTTTAGAATTCTAAAAAGGAATATGGCCTGGAGAGTTTGGAAGGTTTGTAATGGTTCCAAGTTTATAGTCAGAGGGTGCATGAGAAAGACAAGGAGTCCACATTTAAAGACCCATGTGCATCTGGGGTTCTCTGATGTAGTCCTCTGGTGCACCACTTAATAAGCTGTGCAGAGAAGATCAGAAGAAAGACATGTCCCAAGAGGTATGACAAAGAACGGGGACTGAATGACACTTTGTTGAGTGAACGAGGATGTTGGTGCTTCCTGGGTGGCAGGTGTTACTGTGGGTGCGGGCAGGTGTTTATGAGAATGTCAGGGGAACTGAAGGGGAAAAGAACCTGAGGATTGCACGCCCGGCTGTTGGCCACACACAAATAAGAGTATTTTAAAGTTCTCTTTGGAGGGGCGCCTGGGTGGCTCAGTGGGTTAAGCCTCTGCCTTCGGCTTGGGTTGTGATCCCAGGGTCCTGGGATGGAGCCCCACATCGGGCTCTCTGCTCAGCGGGGAGCCTGCTTCCTCCTCTCTCTCTGCCTGCCTCTCTGCCTGCTTGTGATCTCTGTCAGGTGAATAAATAAAATCTTTAAAAAAAAAATAAAAAAATAAAGTTCTCTTTGGATACTGACAGGCGAAAAAGGGAGGAATAAGTCTGTTCTTTGGGACAGGTAGCATAAGGTTAGTGCAAAACCAGGAAAAGACTACTGCTAACTATAATTTGTTTTCATCTTTTCTGTCAAGGAGAAGGATCTTTAAACTAGAGAAGATGAAAGTAAAGAGGGAAAAAAAAAGAATGAGCAAGGATCTTGGTAAAAGACCACCTAATGCTATAAATAAATTAATTTTCAAAGGTACAGATGAAGTACCCCTCAGTATACTGAGGAAAGTTGTAGCAAAGATCATACCAGCCCTGATGGTGATTTTTAAGAGATGGTAACAACTATGAAAACTGCTCAGAACTTAGAAAAAGGCAAATAGGTTTCTGACATTAAGTGAAAACACCTGAATAGTCTTTCGACTATAGATGATAAAACTTGATGATTCCCGGAAGAAAACTCTAGACCAAATTATTCCAGCAGACAGAGAATGAATACTTGGGCTCCTGAATGAACCCACCAAAAAGCAGAGCAGCCTAACCAACTTTCTTTTCAAGCATCATAGGACTGAAAAATGCTGCTGCTGAGGTCATGCTGTCAAGAAAATACAATCTGATTTCAGCAAGGCACATGACAAGATCAAAGTATTCAGTAGGACAGAATGGAGAAGTGGGAGTCAGAAGGGTGGCTTGTCAGCGAGGTGGAATAATGACAGGGGCCTCCTTACGTGAGTGGATCCCCAGGTATATCATACCTGGGTTCACTCTGGAGCTTTTAGGAAGGGTAGGAAGTTTTGAGCCAGAACAGCCCCAGAAAATGTTCCCTGATGTACTCATAATGATCTGGGATGTCTTGGGTGAGTCAACAGGATTCATCTCCCACTCCTGGTGAGAATTTAAGGCAAATTTATCACATTTAGAAATGATGGGTAGCCCACAAGTTTAGCTGGCATTGTATGATAGAATAAAAAACAAAGGAGGAAAAAGTATTTTGCTAGAATGTTGGATCAAAGCCAGTCAACTACGTGAAATTGAACAGTGACACGTTTAACACTATTAGGTTGAGAATGATTTAATTGGGGGTAAAAAGAGTAATTAGGGATAGGAGGCCAAGTTTGACAGCAGATTCTGTGGAAAAAAGCTAGAGGCCTTAGTTGACCACAAGTTTATATAACCTGATAGCATTCCAGGGCTGCTGGCAAAATTGATGGAGAATTAAGTTATGGTAGTATAGAAAGGAGGTCATGGGATATGGTATTCCTACTGTACTCTGTTCCCCATAGCCCAGAGCTGTAGAGCATGGGCTCTGGGGTCACTCTGCCTGTTTTTAGATTTCCTCTCAGCGTCTTGGAGCTTCATGCCTTTGGACAAGGCCCTACACTTCTCTATACCTGTATTCCCCACCTATAAAATGGGTAGAATAATAGGACTATGAAGTCACAGAGTTCTTCTAAGAATGAATCTAAATGGTCCATGTAAAACTCTTAGCACAGAGGCCAACCCCTAAAGCATTTGGTAAATATTTTTGTTATTGGTGTTATTATCGTCATGATTACTCTGTAGTAGACTATTTTAAGATGGGTACTAAAAGTCAGAATCCATTCTGAGGTAAAGTGTTTACAGATTTTTTCACCTGAAGAGAAGCTATAGGAACATAGAGTGTACATTTATCTATTGCTGTATAACAAATTACTCCAAAATTTAGCAGCCTGTATCAATAAACCTGTATCACACACAGGTTCTGAGAATCAGGAATTCAGAAGCAGCTTAGCTGGAGGTTCTGATTCAGGGTCTTTCCTAACACTGGGGCTTCGCTGTCATCTGGAAGCTTGACTGAAAGCCAGATAATAGCTCATCCACATAACTTTTGGCAGGAGGCCTCATTTTCTTGCCACAGGGACCTTCTTTGAGCGTCCTGATGACCTGGCAACCAGCTTCCCCCAGAGCAAGCCAGGAGAGAGAAGACGAGTGAGCATGTGCGAGGAAGAAGTTACAGTACCTTTTGTGACCTAACCTCTGAAGTCACACACCCCGAGACAGTGTGGGAGGGGACATCACAAGGCCATGAATACCAGGAGTTGGGGATCCCAGCAGCCATCTGGGAGGCTGGCCGTCACAGGGAGTTGAGCACCACAAAGACTCAGATTTGGTGGCTAAATGTTGATAAATGAAAGACCTGTTGTTTAGAGGAGGGATACTTACTCAGTATGGCTCCCAAGGACAGAATTCAAACAAACAGGCAGAGATATCTTTAGGGCTTACTCGTATTCTTTTACTTTTGATGGAAAAGAAACGTTTTGTTGAAGTCTTTGTTCCAGAACCAGTATGGCTTGGAGAAACTATTGAGAAAATGACCTTGGTGTTTCTGGAATCATCGAGTGTTTCTTCTTTTAAGAACAAAGTGCAAACATGGTTGGTTTATACTTAGCCTGTGGGGTTTAAACCAGGAATTCCCAACTTTTTATGAGGCCAAGACTTTAGATTACAGAAGGGGCAGGAACATTGGCACGGAGTTTTTCTCACTGGGAATCTGGCAGACCTTGAAGAGAAGGATGGGGATGCTGCTCTGAGGGATACTGGCCAGGTAAAGCTCGGGCATCCAGCAGGGGAAACCAGTCTACTCTTTGAGCATGCGACAGTTCTTGCCGCCACTTTGCTGGGGATTCCCATAAGGAGAACGGACAATGCGCTCATTTTTTAAATAGCCCCCAGGAGAAACTTTTTAAGAAACTTTTGAACTTTTTTGGTAAGGGTGGCGAGCTACTGTTATATTGAAGTGAGTGATCACTGGAACATGAAACTATCAGTACTAGAAGCTCTGAAGAACTTCTGTCACCGGATGTACAGATGGGCCCCGTTCTGCCCTAATGTGACACCCACTCTTCCAGGAGGTGAGGGAACTGTCATGAGCAAAATCACACAACAGCCCAACCTTGGAAGGCCAAGGCCTGGGGATAAGGGCAGGCTGTGTGGCCGTGGGGTTGGGGGAGGTCAGCCTGGATCTTACTGATGCCTCAAGAAAGGACACCAGTCAGGGCCGCACGGCGTGATGAACTCAGTCAGCTCGCGCTTCTGGTCTGGCTTGGATGCCTGGCAAACAAGGGAAGAAAACAGTAAGAATCCTTCTTGCCCAAAGATGAAAGCCCCTGCTGTGCTTGCTCGGTCTCCTGCTTCTACCCAACAGACCCCTCAGAACTTTGAAGCAAATACATTTCAACTTCCCTTTTCTCACCTTTATTTGGACCTAAAACATTGAGCAGGACCACATAGTCTTTGATGCAACCAACCTTAACTCCTGATCATACTCAACAGTGTAGATTTGTATCTGTAGAGATGACAGTGAAAGAAACTACCAGCCCCATGAAAAGATTCATTATATGAGAAAAACCTTCTTGAGTTCCAGTGACTTCTGCACTCCTAACAGATGGGAGAAGATGTCGGGTAATCTCTAATTTGTGTCTCTAAGACTAAAGTTGGCACAATCTAAGATAGAGAATAACAATTCCAAAAGAAGAAAAGAAAGCAAACTAGGGTTGACATAATCATCAAAGGAATAATTAAAGAGAACTTTCTTGAGCCAAAAAAGACTTGTTCTTAATGTCAAAACTATTAACGTTCAATGTAATTTAACAATTTTCATTACTAAAACAATGAAATGGTAGGAGACTTATGAAGTCTACATTTTGTGACTCAAGTTGCCATTCATTTGCAAAGCCGCAAGCCTGTATGAGAACACAGAAAAAGGTTCTTAGACACATCGTATTTCATCATGTGGACACACCCCTCGGTGGCCACCTCAAAAAGTGTTTGAAGATCCTCTCTGGCTAGATAAACAGCTACATCAAGATAAAAAGCCCCAAAATGGGGAAGACAGAAAACAAGTGATAATGTGCATCCAAGTAACTTGTCAAGATAGTTATACCAAATGCAAAATTAACTATTAAAGTAGAAGTTACATATAAAAATAATATAGGGATATAAAGGGGCACCTGGGTGGCTCAGTGGGTTAAAGCCTCTGCCTTCGGCTCAGGTCATGATCCCAGGGTCCTGGGATTGAGCCCCACATCGGGCTCTCTGCGCAGCAGGGAACATGCTTCCCCCTCTCTCTCTGCCTGCCTCTCTGCCTACTTGTGATCTCTGTCTGTCAAATAAATAAATAAATAAATCTTTAAAAAATATATATATAGGGATATAAAATCAAGTTATAATAATTGGTAACTGGGGACAAGAGGAAGGAGGTAGGAAAAGTACACTGAATGTTTTAGGTAATGAAACATCAGATTTCACCCTTAAATTAATAATTAGAGTAAGTAAGTTAAAATTTTTTAAATGTAAGGACCATCATCAGTAGATTGAGAAGAGAATACATCTATTCTAAATCATTACAAGAGAAAAGAAGTCAAAGAAACATAGTCCCATATGCAAAGGACAAAACAAGGAAAATTACTAGAAATAATCACTTGTAAAATGTTACATAAAAATAGTGGTTATTCCTCTGTGATAAGACAGCAAGTAATTTTCTTAGGATTTTTGTGTTTTCTAAAATGTCTACAATGAACTTGTATTACTTTTTAAATAACCTATAAAAACTCTTGGTGGGGTTGTTATAAAAGTTGTTTCAGGGATGCCTGGGTGGCTCAATTGGTTAAGCGGCTGCCTTTGGCTCAGGTCATGATCCCAGCGTCCTGGGATCAAGTCCTACATCGGGCTCTTTGCTCGGCAGGGAGCCTCCTTCTCCCTCTGTCTACCACTCTGTCCACCTGTGCTTGCATGCTCTCTCTCTAACAAATAAATAATTTTTTTAAAAGTTGTTTTATATAGGACACAATGCCAGTAACACTAAAGGGTGGATAAAAAGCCCCCAGTGATGATGAGATTTTATCAAGATATTCTGGGTCAGGTGGTCATGTATTTTTTTCCAGTTGTATTGATTTAAGATTTTGCATGATACGGAATTTGGAGAAATTGGAGGACATTCACCTTCTGTCTGACAAAGACTGAAGTTGTAGTACTTACGGTGCTAGCCTGCCATGGTGATTTTCATCTAAAGCACTTTGATATCCCAGGAAATTGACATCAGCTGTGTCATTTCAGTCCAAACAGCTGGGTCCTGCCTGATGTTGACTGTGGCATCCCTGCCTTCTATTTTGTGGTGGTCTCAGACTTAAGATGCAACCTTTGCTCCATCCATGCTTTGTTCAGTTAAAAATGCTGATCTCATAAACATCCAGAGCCAGAATGGGTCACTCCTGGTCCCCAAAAGACCATCACCACCTGTGGAGGTTTGCGAGAGTCGTCCTGACCCCTCTAGGCTGGAGAATGGACAGGACATACATTCAGCTGAGGAGCAAGCAATGCCAAGTGGAGGCTTCCAAGCAGGGCCAGACTGACTTCAGATTCTGAGTCTAAGACATGTTGATATTTGAGTGAGGTTCCCAGAAGGGAGCAATGGGAGAAAGGGAGAAAGGATATGATTTATTAAGAGGATTTCTCCCTCATCAGAAACCCCCAGACCCTATGCAAGCTTCAGGCTGGGCGTGTGAGTACTGCTCCTGCTATAACAGATAAGCCCTGAGTGCTGTTTCTTTCCCCCTTACGTCAAAGTCTGTGCAGGTGTCCCCGGCCTTGCAGACTTCTTTCCATGCGGTTAGTCAAGGGCCCAGGCTATTTCCATCTTGTGGTTCCTCCCTCCTCCATGCCCTAGGAAGAACTCTCTCCATTTCACCATGAGCTAGGGAAAGAAAAAGAGAGATCTCAGAGGTTTTTATGGACCAAACCTGGGAGGAGCATGCATCACTTCTGCTCACAAACTTTGGCCACCATCTGGTCACACGGTCATACCTGCCTACAAGAGAGAGCCTGGGAAATGCAGTCTCTGCCCAGCAGGGAAAGGAACATGGTTTTGGGAAAATTCACGGGAGTCTCTACTCCATATATTTTTCTTTCTTCCATTCCCTGCTTCCTTCATAGAATGGTTTCACTGCCGTTGGCCTTTCAAGTGAAAAACAACAACAAAGATAGAGGTATATGGGTTGGAAATGTAGTGGAATCATGTAGGCCATGTTCTTTCGGGGGTTTGTTGTTTATGGTAGGGGTATTTAAGGTTTCTCTGCCTAGAGGCCAAGCCTGAGCTCAACCTTTACTAGACATCCTGCATCTAAGTATCCTCCGTATTTTCTAAATATTTATTTTGTGTCTCCTTCCACGTTATCCCCTTTTAATGATAAAACATGAGACAGTGGGGCACCTTGGTGGCTCAGAGGGTTAAGCCTCTGCTTTCAGCTCAGGTCATGATCCCAGGGTCCTGGGATCAAGCCCCACATCGGGCTCTCTGCTCAGCGGGGAGCCTGCTTCTCCCTCTCTCTGCCTGCTTCTCTGCTTACTTGTGATCTCTGTCAAGCAAATAAATAAAATCTTTAAAAAAAAAATGAGACAGTAACATGATTTATCTTACGCAGATTCAAATCTAGGTTCCTTAAGGCCATTCTCCTATAGAACAACACTCCTGGGGGCATCTGGGGGGCTCAGTTGGTTGGGCATCTGCCTTTGGCTCAGGTCATGATCCTGAAGTGTTGGGATCAAGCCCCACCTTAGGCTCCCTGCTCAGTGGTGAATCTGCTTCTCCTTCCTCCCACTACTCCTCCCCTGCTTGTGCATTCTCCCTCTCTCTCACTCACTCTCTCAAATAAACAAAATCTTTAAAAAAAAAAAAAAAAACCCAGGAGCAAAGCAATAAAAAAATATAAGTTGTTTATATTTTAATTATCTTTATAGTGTTGTGGGTAGGGTTTTCATTTCTTTTAAGATTTCACTTATTTGACAGAGAATGAGAGAGCACAAGCAGGGGGAGCAGCAGGCAGAGAGAGAAGCAGGCTCCCCACTGAGTAAGGAGCCCCATGCAGGGTTCCATTCCAGGACTCTGGGATCATGACCTGAGCCGAAGACAGACACTTAACTGACTATGCCACCCAGATGCCCCACAGGGCTTTGATTTTAAATGTTTATTTTCAAACTCAAATGTTTATTTCATAAAATTTGGAAAATTATAAAAGAAAAAAATGATTGCCATAAATCCCACCCTTCTCTTAAAATCTAGGTGTCTTCACCCTGGAATATAATCTTGAAGGGCTTTTATCTAAGAGAAATCACAAGTCATTGCTATAACACCCAGAGAAAATAAAGAAGAGTCACATTTTTGTCATGGGACAAATTCCCAGCCACAAATTCACATCTGTGTTTTTAAGGCTGTTGAGCTTTGCCTTTACCTCTGGATGCCTCAATTTCCTCACTTGAAATGAAGAGTATCCTTCATCCGCCCAGACTACATTCTGTAGACTGTAAATGAAAAAGACATCTATCAAAGGTTCTGAGGGAATAGAATGTTCTAGAAAGACAATCATCCCAGTAGTGCTTACATGTACTCAGTGTGGAAGGTTTGAAGGGATTACGGTTCAAAGACTCAACAAGAGGAAGCATTTTTTTCCTAAGGGTGGATTGAGGGTTTCTTGCCAACCACTTTACCTAACAATTTTGATATTAATAAAGAGGAGAACAGAGACACACACACAGACAGTAAAGCCAGGTAGCCCTCGGCTCCAACGGGGCTGTTCCTTCAACAAAGCCAAAACAGAATTCCCCATCCAGCAGAACTCACCAGAGCTGTTCACGTTTTGTTTCAAAGCCGGCTGATGAGAGCCAAACATAGATATCCCTGTTTGCTTTGTAAATGGAAATTTGAAATGAAGTTTCAGATGCTGGTTGACACCCAAGAGGATGTAATTAGAATAAGGGGCTTTCTGGTTTGAAGATACAAAAAAAAAAAAGAAAGAAAGAAAGAAAGAAATGATCTGTCTCTTTGAAATCAAATTATTAAATAATAAGAGAGAGGGGAGGTTTGGTTTTTAGTCTTCAAAGCAAAACCAGGACCTGCAATTTTCTTAATTGGTTTTTGTTTAAAATTACTAAGGCCAAGGTAGGGAGAGAAGGAGCAAGGTGGGGGCTGGAGAAACGGGGTCGTAAAGCAGAAGGCAGAAGAGGAGCTCAGTGGGAGAGAGAATCTTCTGGGTCCGATGTATCCCCTTCTAGTCCCATCTTTTTTTAACCCATATGGATCTAGAATGCAGTGTGGGGACCCCTTGGGCATCTCACACATGCCTCTTCCTTCCTCATGCCCTTTGGGGGAGGAGGTAGTGTTACTGGTGGAGCTGGATGCAAGTCAGAGGCCAAGTTGAAATATGTGTGCTGGACATCGCTAGAGGAGGATGCAGACGCTGGTTTTAGCCTGTAGTTCACATGACTACACTGAGATTGTGTTTTAGATTCCTGAAGCCTCTTTGCTAATTAAAACCATTTTGCCTTGGGACTCTTAGCTCTTTTACTTCTAAAATGGTCCCGAGGATTGCATGTTTCATGGTAATTCCTGATTTGTTTATTCTTCAAATGGAAGAGTTGTCTTAACTGCAGAAGGTGCTCTTAAGGATTTCTTAACCCTCACCTTACTCATAGTCTCTCTCTTTCTCTCTCTCTTACACATACACACACACACACACACACCCTCTGAAGTGACAATGTGGTGTGCATTAGAAAGAGCAAGAGCTTTAGAGAGAGCCAACGCTGAGTTCTGCCATTCCCTCCGCCATTCCCTAACCTGGCAGCACTGAACAAGCCTCGAACCCCTCGGCTTCATTTTCCTCATCGATAAGATTGGGGTAGCAATGACTTACAGCCCAGGATTTTTGTGAGGATTAAATGGAACTCTCTGGGATACAGTGCTGGGCAATAGTACTTGCCGTTGGTAGACAATTCATTAATAGTGGCTGGTATTAATAAGTCATCACCATCATTAGCATCATCATAGTCTAACCTCAGAAAATCCACACTGGGTTAAAAGCTCTAAGCCCAGGTCCTTTAGGTAGGATATGAACCTAGCGAAGTACTTCTGTGTTCATGTTGTCTGTTCTCTTCTCCCCGTTGGACTAGGGAAAGGTGAGGCCTTCGGAATAAGCACAAACAGGATAAACCCCACTGGGGTCACATACCATCATGACTTTTGCTCTGAATGTGTATCTATTTTCCCACCCCCCCCCCCACACACACATTGTGTTCTTAAAACCCAGCATCTTTGTGGGAAAGTGGAAAATACGTTGTCCGGCTTCTTTATTCACACCTTCTCGTGAATTCAGAAGTTCCATCACATCTGATGCTCCCCTTGGGTTTTACCCGAAGAGAGCCATGATCAGAGGGAATTGAATTAGGTTAAATGTTCCTTTAGGGATTCGACCCCCCATCACACACACACGTGCACGTGCGTGCACGCACACACACACACCATCTTGTTTAAAGCTACAAAAACAATTCAAGAGTCCATTTTAACTTGGCTCTGAGCCAGAAGCCCCTGGTCTTTGGGGGCCTGGGCACCACACAGCCGAGAGGCTGGGGCTGTGGTGGGAGTGTATCTTGTGAAGGGCCCAGTACCATCCGGTGAGTCAGCCCCCAGCCCACTTCCAGCTGCTCCTCAGTTAACCATCCATGCCATCCATGGACGTATAGAAATCTCTTCTGCATCCCTGCTTCTCAGCCGCTCACTCTTCTCTCTTCTTCTTCTCTCTTCTCTCTTCTCTCTCACTCTTCTCAGCCGCTGCTTGTGGAAATAAGTTCCATATGTGGCGCTTCCCGGTTCTCCCTGAAATAAAGTAGTGCTTCCTCTTGTTTCTCCTAAAAGCGCCCCTTCCTGATTACTGGAAGCAGCCTAACAAGTGAAGCATTCTTCCTCGCTGCCCCGTGATTTGTCGACTTAGATCTGGCGCCTTCCCAGCGTTCTTCGTGGACTCGAATAGTATCCTCGTTTTCTATAGCTCTGCATTCTCTTAAAATCAGAAAGAAGGGAGAAAAATTTATAATTCTAGTATTTTCTAAGACTTGCTAACTGTATGTCCATTGGCAGGGTTACCTAAACTAAACAGGGACTACTAATACTTACTCCACAGAGTGGCTGGGCATTTAATGAGATGATGCGGTACCCATGTCCTTAAGTGGAGTTGGAGGGGTGGGTAGGGTCTAAAAGCCAGTTTAAGGAGGCCCAATGGGGTCAAAACGAGACAGTGTTGGAAAAGCTCACTGAAGAATTAGTAAATCTGTGTTCGGGGCTTGTGTTATAGGGAAAATATGTATCTTTTACGTATAGGAATTCCTCTCAGGAAGCTGAGAATCTTGGGGGTGGGATGATAGTCACAAAAATGGCCCTGCCTTCCCTCCCCCCCACACACACACCCCTCCTCAGGAGGAGGGAGGAACCCCAGCACTAGTGAAAGTGACCTTTTCCCTTCATTGCCTAACTAAAAGAAATGTCCCTTCTCTCTCAAGTGTTGGTACTCGGAAGCCAAACTCTTTCCAAATTGCTTTGTTATTTTTCAAGTATTTGTTGTTCTTGGTTTTACTAGTGAACGAGTTGAGTGATAACACTGATCTCTACACACCCCTCTCCAGAAGAACAAAACTGATCCCCAACCTGGTCAGGAGCCCCAGGGAGTAAGGTGTGTTCTCCTCCTCCTGGAAATGTGGCAGGGATGACTTTTCCATGCTCTGCTGATTTCCTCTGCTCGTTTCAAAGTTGCCCACCCCCCTGTTCGGCCCACTCACACAACCTTAGGAAATGCCCACGCTCATTAATCTATCTTCATGGGCCATTCCTCTCTGTGGTAGAGGTCACCAGTGTCACCCCCGCCCCCACAATACAGACAGTGCTCTTTGTCCTCAGGATCACTTACAAATCTTCTACGAGTTCTTACTCTCACCCCTCAAACCTGCCAGGGCCAGAGTCTCTGCTCACCCCTCCGTATGTGGAGATGCATCTGTGTCCCACACCCCTGACTTCTCAAAACCCTGGCTTACCATTTCTTCCCCCTGCATGCCCGTCTTTGAGCCGGCCTTTCCTTCCCGTGCAGGCTAATTCCGTCAGTTCCCACATTGCCTCACATGTGCTTGGACTGCCAACCCTGGCAGATGGGCCTGAGGGTGGCCCGCACCAAGCCACCTCCATCCCAGAACTGAGCCTGACACTGGAGCAGGATGGAGGCCCCCGGCGTCAGGGAGCATCAGAGTGTGGGTCTCCCTGCGTGCCCTCCCCCGGCTTCACCAGGGGCCGCTTGCTCGCTCCCGTCTTCATTAAAGTCATCTACTGCTTTTTCTCCTAGACATTCCAGAGGCATTAGTTGGTTTTGCCATTGTAGTGTCTGAAGAGAAACTATTTAGTCCCAGGTC